GTGGTGGTGTGTGTGTGTGGGGGGGGGGGGGTGAGGACCTGCATGCATCTCTGATTAAATGATCAAACTAAGATAATCAAAGTGAGACCCCAATCCAGAATCAGAATCAACTTTAACTTTCAAATTTAGTTAAATCAATATTTTGTCAGTGTTTAATTCTCTCCAGTACAGCCTCTTGTGCTTGTTTGGACTAGCAGTACAAAATCAAAAACTTGAACAGAGTTTTGATTTTCTCTTCCCCATCCCCAGTTAGAACACAGTTGTAATCCAACGCCTTTTAAATATTTTTTTATGGATCCTCGTACTTAAATTGTTTTCCAGACAATCTGCTTTTGAAAACAGTCAACATACCTGACCAGCACATCATCTCCAGTCAGTTCTTCAATTAGCTCAGATATTAATCCACTGTTTGCACAGTAATTCAAAGAAACCGCAGACACTGAAGAAATCTCAACAATTAACTACAAAGTAAGCACAGGAAGGACAGGTGTATAAAAGCATTTGTGTAAGACTGAGTGCTTGCACACTGCATTATGTTTATAAAGTTATACAGACCTATACGTTACATATTCCAAACAGAATTTTTGCCTGAAAACATTATTTATTAACCCCCATCCTGCTTTAAAAGCTTATTTCACTGGTAAGTCTTCAGACAGAAGTATGTTCTTTTGCTTTCTTCTTACATCCTGCTTTCCCCACCCCCCCTTTGCTCTGCTAAAAATGCCAGCCTCTCCACTCCCTTTGTTTCTTCCTCACACATTTAAGCTTTGAGACTGCTCCTTGCCACCCACATACCTGAAGTTATACAGCTGGCAGTGATCTACCATCACCACTACCCCTTAAAAAAAAAAAAAAAGAATTGCACCTGTATTTTTTATTTGATTTATAGTAATATCTATAGGTGTCCATCCTAGGCTCTGGGCCCCCATCCACCATAATTTAAAAGCAAAATATAATAGAGGACAGCCCATAAATATCCTCCAGACCTTCAGTCCACCCCATTTCAAAACCCTTTGAGGTTTGGGGGGGAAGAAAACTCTGATTCATAATTTCATAAAGAATTATGGTATGCTCCTTTCCTGCCCCACGCCATCTTTCTTCACTCCAGAAATGTACAAAGTTTGCAAGTCAGTTAAAAATGACAGATATGTTCCATCTCATTCCAAATTACAATGCACTAGAGTCGTGGTGCCCTGTAACAAACACCAAGAACTACATTGCTCTTACCTCATATACTCTGTATCGTACAACATCACTTGTTGCCATGACATTTTTCAAGTCAACTAAAAAATTGCTTGCAAATAAAGCCTCCAGCCCATCTTGAGTCTGTGCTATTCTCGACAGTGATTTGATAGCCTACAAATAAAGGCAGTGTTTTGTGATAATACAGACACATACACACACACAGTAGCAGAACCAACTGTAGAATGAAAGAGCAAGACAAGAAGAGTCAGTTGAATTGTTTTTTCCCCAATAGGCTAAATAATACATGAGACATCTAGAGCTATGCTTTATCAGTGGGAGAAGACTGAAAAATATTGGTCTCTCTGCTGAGACTGGCAAGAGTGCTAGTTATGCTGGTTTCTGTGATGTGAACAATCCTTTAGGAATCAGACAGGAGACCACATCAATTCACTTCACAGAGGAGAGTTACCAGACAGCAACGATATGGGTGTGTTAGATGATTTTACCTAGAGTGACTTCAGAGCCTAAGACATTTAGATGCTTTTGGAATTTTTACACTAAGGCTGATCCCAGTCTCCTGGGCTATCCAAGCCCCCACTTCTCTATTATCCAAGAATAATCAAGGCTGCTATCTCAGATACTGTAGATACAACATAAGATACTTTGAACCTTTCAATTAGTGTGAAAAAGAAAAAAAGAATTTATTGTTTGCAACACTTACCTCTTTAGCTACAGCTATTTTCTCTCCACCAATGCAATAAATGATTTGCCTTAGTAATTCAGGATTATTGAGAATTTCTCTAACAGCATCTGAATTTTCAACTATTCTTCCAACCTAAAAATTCAGTTGAACATATAGTATTAGTCGGTTTCCGCCAGATGCAAAACACCAACATGAAAAATTTCAACAAGTTTATGTAGGATTTCTAACTAGAATCTATATACAAGTAGCAATATGGTGCTTTTGTCCTACTTTGGTACTGGGAAGTAAAGAATTAAACTGTAATTAAAAAAAAGTGATAATGGATTAAAACTAGCCAAGAATGGTCAAAGATCTAACCTACTATTTGAATATAGGAGTTACGGTCCATACCTGAGCTATAGTAAGAAGTTTAACTGAATCATCAGGATGAAAGAGTCCTTTTTGAAGTTCTTCTCTGAAGTTTTGGATTACATACAATGGATCCACTGCCTGAAGAAACCGCTCCAAGATAGAAACACATAAAGCAACCTGTTCTCTGTTTGCAGGGGAAGGAAAAACACCCCTTAGATCAGTGTTCCCCAAACATTTCAGAGTCACACCTCCTCTTACCCCGTCCGCACACACACACACACACACATCCAGGAGTGGGGCCGCAGCTCCAGCGGGGAGGGAGGACAACATGGACAGGCGTAAGGGGGCTGAGGGTGGGGCCACAGCTGTGGGCAGGACTGGGAGCAGAGCCCTAGCTGGGGCCCTGGGCACATGGCCAGCAGCTAGGGCCCTGGGCACGGGGCTGGGAGCCGGGGCCAGCAGCCAAAGGGCACTCCCCATGGGGGCTGGCCCAGGCTTCAGCCGTGCCCCCAAACATTCCTCCATGCCCCTTTAAGGGGGGCACACCCCAGTTTGGGGACCTCAGCCTTAGCTAAAGAATTTAACAATTTAAGGCAAACAGAAACAACTCTGCGACACAGAAACAACCCTGTGGCTATTTCCCACCAACTAAGCTTTGTCACCATTCTGAATTTTGCAGAATAATCTAGATTTTACTACTACAGGCCTACGCACGTGCAAAACAACTTTGTACTGTTCTGATTCTATTTCCTGGCAGTGATCATTGCAATAGCTTATACTCAGTAAATAAACAGCTCCTCCCATGTGCTTTACAAATAACCACACACACAAAAAACAAATCCCAACCTCCTTATGGAGTATCATCCACATTTTACAGATGGGGAAACCATGGCAGAGAGAAAAGATTTGCCACAGACCAAACAATGATTCAGTGACAGAGCCATGCTCAGAGGGAGCCCCAGGTTCCCAGGGCTGTTGCACTGCTGGGCTCTGCATACAGGACCCTATCACCCAGTGACACCCAGCACCTAAGGCTGCACGACAGCGAGGAGCAGAGCATCACCCCTACGGCAACAGCACGTGCCACAGCAGCCTGGTCCCCCCCCCCCCCAACCAGCCCCTGACACCCGGCCCCCCCACCCGACAGCGCCGCCCCGCCCCCACCACATAGCACCCCAGCTCCAGGGAGGCAGCCTGAGGTCGCCCCCGTACCTCAGCGACGCCGCATCGCTCACCCCGAACGCCAGCCCCCTCCACCGGGTGCCCGCCTCGCCCACGGCCCCGGCCCAGGCCTCCCCCCGCCCCGGCGAACCTGTCGTTCACGTTGAGCAGAGCGAAGAGGCTTCCCAGGCGGATGTCGGGCGCCCGCTCCCTCAGCGCGCTCAGCGGCAGGGCCTGCACGGCCACCCCCAGGGCCCGCAGCTCCTCCAGCGGCTCCTCCAGCCGGGACACGCGGGCTAAGAGCTCCAGCGCTTCCTCCGCCATCTTGGCACCCAACCCACCCGAGGGAGGGAGTGTGGGGCTAGCAGTATCGCGAGAACTCCCCTAGCAACCACGCTGGGCGTAACTAGGAGGCTCCTTTCGCGTCCGGCAAAATGTAAACAAAATGGCGGGCCCCTGCATCTTGCTGATTGGCTGCTGTAAGGCGAGGGGCGGGATTAGTCTGTCAAGTCCGCCCCGTGGGCTCCTGGGAGCGGAGCGGACCGGGCTGAAGCGGCCCGCCGGCGGGAGGGCGGCTATAGAGGCGGTGGCCGTGCGGGGAGGACGAAGACGTCTCACAGCCACCCACTGTCACTGTGGGGTGTTAGTGACATCACGCCGTGCTGGTGTCTGGCCCCTCCCGGGGGGGGACGCTGCAGGGAGCCCCTCAGAGCCCGCCCCCGGGAGTGGCACAAAGACACCGTGTAAAGACCCCAGGCGGCTGCCGGGTGGCCACCATCGAGGTCACATAACACACCCGCCCTGGCGTCTCGGGATGCTTCAGAATAACCCCCCCCCCACTCCCCCAACCCCCGGCCTTTAATTCTCAACAATAAAAGTCAGGGTTTTAGCCCCACCACCAAATTGCTCTGGCGTCTCTCAGCCCAACACAAAAGAAGGTCGCTGAGTATTCCCAAGTACCGGGGTCGCCGTGTTAGTCTGTATCTACCAAAACAACAAGGAGGCTGGTGGCCCCTTAAAGACCACGAAAGCTGATGCCCAAATAAATCCGTTAGTCTTTAAGGGGCCACCGGACTCCCTGTTGTTTTTGAGTATTCACAGAGCAGCGTCCACAGCCGGTTACTCGGCTCCTCCCGGAAAGGACTTTTGGAAAGTCACCGTCACCCAGCTCCCTCTGGAAACAGCCTTTCCCCAGCTGACCTCGGAGCGCCGGGCTCAGCTCCCTGATCATCTCACTTCAGACATCGATTCAGACTAACTGCCTTTTGTTTTATCGTACTCATTTATCTACACTTCGCACAATGTTATTCAATAAATAAGTGTTGATAAATGTAAAATGAAGATAATATTTATCCACTGCGGGGATAATTAGATGATAAATAAGCAGGCTTTGGTGCAGGAAAACTTTTCAGGTGGGGGTGGCAGGAGAGAAGGGAATTCTCCCTCCACTACCATGGAGTATCAATACAGCTGCTCCGTGCTCTGCTCTCCCACTATTTGGGGGTTTTGATTAACAAAGTTAGGCAGTCGGAGTCCCATTGGCCTAACTTGTCCTAGGCAGCATTGCAAGGTGATGTGCAGGGGTATAGACTTTCCTTATACAGGCTCCCCACACTCCCTTATCACATCTGTGCAGTGTAAATCTGACCGTTCTGTTGTGCTGAGGATGGTCTGTGCTTGCAGGGGAGATCAGTGTAAGAAGAAAATGTGTCAGTCTTTCAATCTACAAGGAATAGACCAGGCAAATGAAGCTTAGCAGATACCTGAACGTTTCCATTTTGTAAAGGGTTCTGAATGATCTATGATATTAAATATCTCTAAAAGGTCACTAACAATACCAGGATAATTTGGCCTTCATCCTTTGCCCAGGAATGAGATCGTTAACAGTACAATAATTGTAGAAAGTTTTGGTCTAAAGCTAGACTTAGACTGCTGTGCTAAGAAGTTTGCAATGATCTGCTGATGAATACATTTTCTAGTAGCTTGAGAGACCTAACAGTAACATAATGACTGTCTCTATTCATGTACAGTTGAATTCTTAAAGGGACATTGTCAAAAAGTTTTAGGCCTAAAATGCCCACTACTACTTTGCACTTTTATAGCACCTGCTGAGGATGTCAAAATGCTTTAAAATATTCAGGAATGAAACCCCAGAACACTTCATTGTACAGATGCAGAAAACACGGCATAGAGGTTAAGTGACTTGCCCAAGGTCACCCGGCAATTCAGTGGCAGAGCTAGGAGAACTCAGATCTTACTTCCTGCCATTTAGCCACAACTACATGCTTCTGCCATTAAGCTTTGTGTTTAAGAAAAAAAAGTTGTACAGAGCCAACTATTAGAAAGGTTTAAAATAAATCAAATTCAATTACTTTTAAAAATATTTTTTTTAAATGTAAAACAATCCCTTGCAGTGTCAAATCCAAAACACTTTCTGACGCGTGTGCATGGGAAGGAGAAAGTGAAGCTGACTAGAGATAAACGTGGAACAATTCAGGCTAGATGTGTTGTCCCAACTGACTGAAACGTTGCAGATACACAGTGTATGAGATTGCTAAACCTGAAATAACTTAAAATCTACAGGGTTAACAGGCAAAGCTGTAATTAAAAGCTAGGGAGACTTTCTTTTTAAATGCTTCTTAGTTTTGTGCACTTTCAGCACATTTTATTCTTCACATTCAAATATCTTATTCTGGGAGGCGGGAGCTAAAAACACCCTAGTTTTACTCAGATTCAGATATCACGGTGATGGGCATAATAGGCTTTGGCCAAGTCAGCGAACGTCACAGTGTCAAGTTCCCCATCTTTTAAATGGAATAATAATAATACCTACATTACAGGGTGTTTTGAGGATTAATTAACTATCCAAACCCTGATTGATTTACTCCGGAGTAGTGTCAATGAAGTCAATAGCATGACTCACATAAACTACAGAAGGGAATTTTTCAAGGGGCAGAATGTCTTTTCCCAGCATGGAATATAGCCAGGACTCAGGGAAAGTACTGTGGAGTCTCCAATGACCAAAGATTAGTGCTCTGTCCCTAAAACTACAAATCAAAAGCTTCCCCCATAATCCGATTCTTGTGTGTCTAAGAATGGCCGTGTACATAGATTCATAGATTAATAGATTA